ACCAAGGGCAGGACCATCTGTGACCACAACTCTGCCTCCTCAGGCCTGCTCGGGTCCTTCTCTGGAGGCCGAGTCCACGGCCGAGTCCACGGCGGCACTGTGCTTGTGCTGGGGACGGGAGGCAGGCTCCTCTCTGGTCCTGACCTCTGCGACCTGGGGTGCAGAGTGGGGTGGGCACCACCCTGGACTGCACGACTGTGGTCAGCTGAGCAGGCATCAGCTCATGGCAGTGCTGCCCTCACCTGGCCGCACTCAGCTGAGCCAGACGTCGGTCGTGGCCCTAGCTGGGCAAGGAGGAGCCTCGTGGCAGCTGTCTGGGCTGCGCTCCGCACAGGCAGGAATTGGTTCAGAGGCCCTCTGGTCACCGCAGGGGGAGCAGGAGCCTCCCGACTGGTGCCCCCTCCAGGTCCCTTACTACTCTCTGGGTTTTCATATTTTTCAAGGACAGGGAAAAAAATGGGGGACGAGAGACAGAGACTTTCACCATCTCCAAACAACAGAGGTGGCTGCTCCTGGCTGGGGTGGCGGGGAGTGGGCCTGGCACCCTCCACCAGTGTGGGCAGCCCTGTGGAGGACGGAGGCTGAGGGAAGGCCAGCCTCCACTCTGAACCAAAGGCCGCGGCAGCAGCAGTGGAGCGCCATGCAGGTGATGTTGGGTGGACGAACACCAGGTGTCAAAATCTGTCACCACAGCAACAGGCCTGGGTCCCCGTCTAACTCAATTTCAGTTTGTGCCCATGGAAACGGCAGAGAAGAGGCGCACACCAAGCTCTGCAAGGTGTTCTGGTCTCCTTCAGGGCCCAAGGCGGATTCCAAACCTGGGCTTCCAGCTGGGTAGGAGGGCGGTGGGAGGGAATGCCCGAGCCCACTGGATGGGAACAGATGGGCAGGTATCTGGGCACGAGGGCAGCCCATCTCACCTTCCCAGATGTGTCTTAGCAGAGCAGTATTGGGCTGCACGTGTGCAGCAGTGCTGGGACCCGGCTCCTCACCAGCACGCAGGGCTGCTGCAGCCTGTCCCGGCCCTCGCGCCTCTCCTACTCCCTCAGCCACACGAGGCCTAGAAGTGATGACCCTGGGGCAGAATCTGTCCAGCTGCAGCCCAGTGTCTCTTGCACAGCAAGTAGGATGATGGACGTGGCCCTCTGTGTGCATAGATGTTACCTGCTGGCCACACTTATCCCACCCAACAATGTGGTCACTGCCACGGCCACTCCTGCCCTTCCAGGGAGCTGGCAAGTCGACAGGGGGCCTGCAGCTGCCTGCAGTAAACCTGGAGGTCCTGGTGACCTGGAGTGACCTGGAGGTCTTGGGCAGAGGGTCCTGAGGGACAGAGCCCAGCTGGGTTTAGAGACCATGCACCTGGGGCAGGTGCCACCCCAGCCCCACCTGCTGCTGGGGACACACGGGGACTGTCCCATGCATGGTGGGCAGGATGCCTGGAGGCTACTCCCAGCTCTGAGAGGCTGGTACGTGACTTGCTTTCTTGAAGCTTTGCCTCCTAATGTGTGTGGTAGGGCACAGTGTGGTGGGCAGGAGGACTGCTCCAGGGATGCTGTGTCCCAGTCCCTGCCACCTGTGCACGTGGCCTCATGTCCACACATCAGCTGACCCGGATAGGAGAGATGGCCCTGGTTATCTGCACAGGCCCAGCGAGGCCACAGAGTGCCACGGTAGGAATGGGAACCCAGATGGCCCTAGGGGCTGGGGCAGCTGGGGCCTCCAGAGCAGCCGGCCCTACAAACTGGACTCAGTCACAGTGGGATCCCAACTCCTGAACCAAGGGGTCAGGGGTGCTGTCCAGGCCCAAGTGCCTAGAAGCTTCTGCAGCTTGAGAACATCATACCTCCCAGCCCACTGTCCCCAGAGTGGGTGGACGCTCTGCCTGGCATGAAGGCAGGCCAGGATGGGGATGCAGCAGGACACTCCCCTGTCTGCACCCCACAGGCGGAGATCAGGGGTGCCCTGGCAGGCTGCTGCTCCCTGAGGCGTGTCCACAGGACACCGGCCTTGGGGATCCTGTGGCCCAGTGAGCTTCACAAACCAGGTCCCACGTGTCCGCTCCAGAGTTCGCAGTGCCACCAGCGCAGCAGAACACCGTTCACCCAGGATTGCCAGAGGACTAGGCCCAGAAGTGTCCTCCCCACCACTGGCACCCACACCCCGTAAGATCCTGTGGGTGACAATGACTTACCTGGCCTGCAGGGATGTGCCCGGGCCACCACGCGATCGCAGGCACCCTCATTCCACCTTCAAATGTGGTCTGTTTCCCACACAGAAAGGGGCCATTACTGCCACCTGGGGAGAAAGCCACCACCATCAGGGACATGGGCATGGCACTCTTGGTAGCACTGCCCGTGCTGGCCCCTGTTCTGCAGTGTAGTCACCGAGACCCATCACGGAGAGAGAATCAGCCAAGGAGGTCAGCTCTACGCACAGGGTTGGGAGGCCTCAAATGGCTCCAACCGGGCAGCTGCCTAAGCTGCTTCGGCTGCAGGTGTCCAGAGACCTGCTCTGACGAGGAGCTACTGCTGGCCTGGCCAGCAGTCATCAAGGCTGACTCTTCAGGCAGAGCTGGAAAACATTGCTCACGGAGCAGGTTGCTGGGCACAGAGGCCTCTGCTTACCGTTAGGTGCTGGGGTCTGCAGGCTCCCTGTGGTCTGGGCAGAGCCACTCTGATCCTGACAGTGGGCAGGGTGGGCCAGGGGTATTTCCCACCAGCCAGAGGGGGCGGAAGCAGGTGGCCCTGCATCGTAGCTCTCGGGATGCTGCTGCAGTCTCTCCCTGGTTCTTGGGGTGTGTGGGGTCTGGCACAGGGACAAGCGCTGTCCTTGCCACCAGAGCCTATGCTGCCAGAGTGGCCAATGACCAACATCCCATTTCCCTCCCTCAGAGTGCCTGAACAGGAGCTGGACCTCAGCCCTCCCTGTGGGCAGTGTGTAGCTGCTGACCGACCCTAAACTATGCTGGGAAGAGCCGGGCCCCACGCCTTTCTCTGGGACGCCGCCTGCACAGAGAGGGCCTGCCTGAGAGCCAAGCCCACTCAGCCGTGGGCTGTGCTGGTTCCTGTCACTCGAAACCAGAAAGCCCGCTGTCTTCCCTCCACCCTCCAGTGTGCACCCCAGAGGAGACGGCCAGGGCCGAGTGGGGACAGGTGAGTGGGGAGGGTGAGCACAAAAGGCCAGGACTCGAGGACCCTGGCGCTGGTGGAGCCCCTTGCTGTCTCATGGCTGCCCGCCCCAGGCCACGCACCGCAACCTCCGCCATGCTCACCCGCACGCCGGCCGATGCCGGGCTGCCTGCCCCAGGCCACGCACCGCGACCTCCGCCATGCTTACCCACACGTCGGCCGATGCCGGGCTGCCCTTCTCCAGGAGGCATGCAACCTCTCCTGAGACACAGGTCCTCCCCCACCACTTCCTGCCACCTCTCCGCAGCAAGGCCAAATTGACCAACACTTCAGCTGGCCCTGGGCAGGAAGGGCCACCACTACCCTGCTCAGAGGCTCCCGACCCAGGGAAGTCCCTTCACGCTCCACCGGGAGCAGGCTGCTGGCCTCTGACGTGTGAGCCGTGAGCCGCACGGGCCGGTTCCGTGGGCGGCCAGGAGGACCAGCACCAGCACTCGCCTTGCTCGGGAGCAGAAATGAGGGCAGCGCCGTTATCCGAGGTGAAGAAGACGAAGGTGTTCTCCCCGAGGCGCAGCTCCCGCAGCAGCCTCAGGATTCTCCCAACACTGTCGTCGATCTCGCGAACGGCGTCCCCATACCTGTGGGGAGCGGGCAGCTTGTCAGGCAGCAGGGCGCAGTGTGACTGAGCACAGGGACCTCTGAGGAGGTGCCCACGGAGCAGGGGGAGGCTCAAGTCAGGTGGCCGATCCCGGGGAGCCAGCCTCCGCCCAGCAGCCCTGAGCTGGCCGTGCCCAGCAGCCCTGAGCTGGCCGTGCCCAGCAGCGGGGATGCTCTGGGTTCTCTGAGCGCAGGTCCCGAGGCAATCTAGCCCCCGAAGCCCCCCGGGGTCTCGGGTTCCCTGAGGGACTCACCGCCCTCGCCTGCTGGTACCCAAGAAAGATCTGGAGGCGTAGACAGGCGCGTGGGTGGCGTCGATGGCCCAGTAGAGGAAGAACGGGCGTTGGCTGGCCTGCTGCCTCCTGATGAAACCCAGGGCCTCCTGTGGGGAGACTGCTCGTCCTCCTCTGCCCGCAGCCCCGCGGCCTGTCCTGCCCAACCCAGCTCCTCACCTCTAAGTAGATCTGGGTGAGGTTGGCCTCCCCAGTCTTCAGGTCGATTGGAAATTCTTCATAAAATCTGAAAGTACAGCCCCAGACAGAAATCAGGGTTTAGCCCAGACCTCTTCTCTCTGAGGTCACCTGTAGCTGTGGCCTTGTTTAGAAGAAGGTGGAAATGTCCCAATTGTGGAACAAATCCAGCTGGAGGCTGGCACTGCCCTGGACACTTCTCCTGGCCCCACTGACCCTGCCCAGGATGGAGCAGGGCAGAGCAGAGGCCACGGGGCGGGAAAGCGCCAGCCAGGGCTTCTTTACGGTGGTGAAGATGGCGCGACATCGACTGTGGTGGTCTCACAGCTCTGGACACACCTGCACACCCACTGCAGGCCTGGTGAACATTACGGGGCGAGGGTCACGGACCAGCAAAGCTTCACTTTAAAAAAGCCAGTGGGTGTTCCAGCTCTGGTCCATGATCCGTAAGAAAAGTTAAACTAACAAGAAAGACAAGGGCCCCTGACCAGGTGCTGCCGGGAGGAGCTGCCCTACACCGGGCCTGAGCTCCGGAGGGCTCCTCCCTGGGGACTCCCATCCCCCCACTTCTGCTGCGCTCACAGGCAAGGGTCAACCCATCCTTTCCCCTGCGTGCCCACTGTCTAGACGCCACAGCCGACTGCTGGGTCCTGCAAGCACCCTGTGGGACGGGCATTTGACTCCCAGTGGCCCGGGTGTGAGTCCCGGGAGACTCTGGCTGCGCAGATGCAGCATGGGCCAGCAGGTGGCTCAAGAACCATCATCCTGCTCTGGGGGCAGCTGCAGAGGCCAAGGGAGGACTGCTGGGCACCCCGTCAGCAGGGCAGGGCTGGGAGGGAAAGGAGAGACTGCTTTACCTGCCGACCATCTCCCAGTCCCTATACACAGGGATGTTGGGCCTGGCCCTGTTGTCATAAGGTCCAAAGTGACAGTTGGGGGATCCAAACCACTCATCAAATCCGTGCTTCAGGGGGTGGAACTGGGGCCTATGACCCAGATGCCTAGGAACAGGAACCAGCACTTCAGGGCCCTGCCGGGTGCGCTCTGGGCAGCAGCCTACCTCACCTTCGCCCATAAGCACCCCCAACACCCAGTGTGTGCTGAGCCCTGGGCATACCAAGACAGACAGACGGACCAGGACGGCACCCGGGGAGCCCCGGAATCCACCTCCCTTCCCAACAGAGTGCTGCCACACCACAGAGCACATGGCACAGCCCGGGGTGTCCACCGGAGGCTCAGTGGAGGCTGGGTGTCCGCAGGGTGCCGTGGGGAGCTCTGAAGCAGAACTGTCCCAACCGACTCGAGACCTGAGCACCCATCTCTGCTGTCTCCAGGTTCCCTGGGCTTCCCTGCCCTGAGCTCTCAGGAATGTCCCCAGAGCTGCACCCAGAGCGCCAGTGTCCCCCTCAGGGCTGCAGGCAGCAGGGCCTCGCTATCTCTGAACACCGAGTGTCTCTTCTCCAGCTAAGGGAAGGCAGAGCCAGAAAGCCTGCGAGCTGCTCATGTCCCCAGGCCCTGGATGTGACCTGCCACAGTGGTCACAGGAGGATGTGCAAAAGCCACTGAGGCTCCTGTACCCTGAGAGGGGCCGGCACTCTCAGCCCTCACACCCTCTTCACATTTGGGGGCACCTAATCTCACTCCCGCCTCTGCAGCTCCTACGGTCAGTGGGCCAGTGGCCTCACAGGTGCTGGGCAAGGCCATCAGCCCTGGAAAGAACAGCTCCCGCCTAGTCTTCAGAACAGGTGTCGGAGAGGTGGCTCCGGTGCTGGCTCCTGACCACTACAGACCAGTGGGGGGGTGCCCATTGGCTTGCCTTCCGCCCCTGCACCAAGGGAAGCCTTCTGCAGCTACTTTCTGAAACCCCAGGCAGAAGAGTCCTTTTCCAATCTGCACCTGGGACAGTCCCTGGTGGAGGCAGCTCCTGACCACTATCATTGGTCAAACGGTGGGCAGGGTCATGGGGGATGTGGGGAAGGCTGAGGACCAGGGAGGACAGGCTGGCACAAGTTGGCTGCTTTTCCAGGACAGTGGCCTGGCCGGCACGGCCGCCCCCTGGAACAGGTCACTGGCCTTGTGTGCCCCACCTTCTCCCCTCCAGGGTACACTGTACCACCTGTGACTTCATGGGCCTTGAGCTGTAGCCTGGGCCATGTCCTGTGTGTCTCATGTGCTGAGACACATGAGACACACAGGACCCCTGCTGTGACAGCCTGTCCTTTCTGAACACTGCTGGGCAGGTGGCTGCCCATGTCCACATCTGTCAGCACGAAGGCCTCAGCTTTGAGGGTCATGCTCTAGTCCTGCTTGGACGCAGCTGCCAATGACAATGGTCAGGTGTGGGCCCACAGGAGAGCCGGAACAGGGTGCTGTGGCGACTGGGTGTGGCTTTGGGCAGATCATGCAGCCTCTGCAGGCTTCCAGCCTGGTCAGCCCCAAGGACTTGGTCAGGCAGACAATATCCAGATTCTTGGTGCTGAGGTCCAGATGAAGGACTTCAGGTTGGTCCTGGCCACAGCCCACAATATCCCCTCAGCCCTGCATTGGGCCTGCTGGGACAGGACCTCTCACTGAGGAATCGCTGCACCATCGCCCCCAGGCCTCCTGCAGCCCACCCTTGTGCGGCCTCCACCCCACTGGCCTGTTGCCCGTGCGCCCGTGTCCCAGGTCAGAGCACAGCTACTTCTCTGGTCCTGTGGGCTCCTCCACGGCCTGGCCGCCTCTCTGGCCAGCTCCACGGAGATGCTCTCCCTGTTCCACTCCTGCTGCCCTGGGTCAGGGATGGTGAACGGACGGCTTTGCACAGGGCAGAGCTGCCAGGCCAGGCACGGAGCGTGCTGGTCACTGCAGGGGCTCGTCACTGAGGCCACCGCTGCTCTTCCTCTCGCTGGTGCAGCCCTCAAGGCCTGGCCTCTACCTTGGCTCCCTGGGCCCTCCCTGCACCTGCTCAGGGACAGCAGGCAACAAGGGGCCCTGTCCTCCCTGAGAGGACCTGGCCCTTGCGTGCCCACCCAGCTCTGCTCTGCCACCAGTCCTGGCTGTGGCCCAGCTCAACAGGCTGGCTTCCCTGTTGCCAGACGGTGCTCTTCGGTGGCCTCTGATGGGACGCATTTTCTGGCCTCAGCAGACTCCACATCCCCATGACCATCACCATCCCCAAAGAAGAGTGCCCCAGGGAGCGCGTGGGAGGGCCCCAGGCAGCAGAGGAGGCCTCCCGAGGGAAGGGGGTCTGTGGGCTGCAGCGTGGGGAGGGGCCCCAGGACTCTTTCACACCTGAATGTCCCCAGGGAGCAAAGGAGTAAACGTTTCCTGTGCTTGAAACAGGACATGGTGTAGCAACAGGTTCCCTCCTGCTGACTGGGCCCCGCCTCACCCACCACAAGCCTGTGTGTGCCACTGGGAGGTTCCTTTAGTCACCAGGCTTTGGCAGGGGGTCCCGCAGGAGCAGAGGTGGCAGAGCATGGTGGGAGGCGACAGGGGCTGAGACGTGTTGTGGGGCCACGTGCCGCTTGCTCACGGAGTCTGACACCATGAGGTGGCTCTGCAGGGCTGGTGTCCCAGCCTCAGGCCTGAACTGAGATGCTACCAGCACATCAGGGCAATAGCCCCGGGGACCACACCAGCTTTTAAAAGCACCTGTTGGCAATCTAAGTGGACCTAGGAGTCAGGGTTCCCAGAGCCCCTTGTTTGGGATGGCGTGAGCAGGGGCCGTGCAGGGCAGACGCCAGGCGTATCTGGGACTCACCACTTGCCCACGATCTTGCTGGTGTAGCCGGCTTCCTTCAGGAGCTCAGGCAGCAGGAGCTCAGAGTCGGGGATGCCGCCCACTACCTCCTGGGGCGTGTAGGCTGGAGGGCAGTGGTGTGTGTGGGCAGGGAGTCCCAGGGGTCTCACCCAACCCTAACAGACCTGCACAGTGGCCTGTCAGGACCGACAGGCAGAGGCCACCCAGCGCCACAGCCAGGGTGGGACGCAGGCCACTGCCCCAGGCTCCTCCCAGGCATGGCTCCAGGCCTGCCTCCCACTCCTCTGCCCTTCCAGCTAGGACACCCCCCTGCCCGCAGGCCACACCTGTGTCATTCCTACACTCCCTTCTTCTTCAGGGCCCACTGAGATCCCGTTTAGTCTATGAGGTGTCCTGGAGAACCCACCCAAGCTCTGGGTAATTTCCAGAACATTCCCTGCCTCCGCAGGTCTCTGTGGGTGCAGGGCTGACTGCCAGAGTGGGGCAGGAGCCCTGGACAGAGGGACGTGCCCGCTCTGTAGCCATGCAGTGTCCCAGGGAGCATAAGGGGGTGGAAGGAGGGGTGCTGGGCAGGGGTGGGGTGCCCCAGCCTCAGCTCTGTCCTGGTGGGGTCAGTACAAAGAAGCAGGCCTGGCTAGGCAGGGCCTGTGCAAAGCTCTGTGTTGGGGACCAGGTGCCACCTTGCCTAACAACAGCTTTTGGTGGAAGGGCAAGAATCTGTCTTAAAGCAACTTTAGTGCAGAAGCAAGGTGTCTGGCCCTGGGCAGTTTGTGCTGCTCTGCAGAACTAAGGCCACAGGTGCCAAGGGCCAGCCAATGCCCCCCTGCCCGGTGTCTGATTCTGGCCCTCAGCCTCCCATGCCTGAAGGCTTGGGACACCAGCCTTCCTTCCCTGTAGGGCACCCTGGAGGGGCACGGGAGCCATACCATTCCGGGCGTGCGCATTGGTGGTGTAGAAGCCGTTGCGGATGGGCAGCCGTCCTGTGAGCAGGGCTGCCCTGGCTACATGGAGGTGATAAAAACAGGTGGTGAGAACAGCTCTACGGTGCGTCCTGCTGTGCAGCTCCCACTAGCACACCTGGTACACTGTCCAGCAACCCTGCCAGCCTCTGTGTGTCCTGGGGTATGCGTATAACAGCCTGCTGATAGGCAGAGGTGGAACCTTGGCCTGCAGGTCAGCTCTGTCTCCTTGGCTCTTGCCTGGCTCTCTCAGCTCCAGGATGGCCACCAGGCTGCCTCCCCACAGGGACCGTCACCAGGTGCTGATCCCTGGCTCCCCATGCCCTTTAAGGTCAGAGTTCTGTATCCGTCTCCCCAGCAGGAGTGAGTCTCTGCAGGGAGAAGGCACAGCTGCACTGCCGCCCACCTGCGTCTCATACCCGTGAGGGGGAGGCACCCAGAGGGCTCTCATGGCCCTTCCCTGGATGAGGCCACCTTGGCGCTGGGAGACAACAACAGCTGCCAGGGCTGGACGTCAACTTTGAAGGCCCTGGACAGTCCCCAAGCCCACTGACAGCCTCTGAAGGCTCAGTGCCCCTGCTCCTAGCACTTTGGAAGAGAAGGCACTGCCCAGAAGTCTGACCTCAGGGCTGGAAGGAGGGGATGGGCTGGGCTCTGTGGCCCCATCCCTGGGCCAGGAGCCTGCAGACTTACATGGCGAGCACAGAGGGTTGGCCGAGTAGAAGTTTGGGAAAAGCATCCCTTCTGCAGCCATCTGGTCCAAATTTGGAGTCTCTCTGGAAGGTTCTCCGTACACCCCCAGGTCGCCCCACCCCATCTGCGTGGAAGAACAGAGATGCGGAATGAACCCCTTTTGCAGGTGGCACTTCCATCACAGGGGGAGTGCGTGTCTTGGGCCTCCCTCACCCTAGCAAAGCTTGTGCCAAACACCAGCGCCTGGGCACAGGCAGCACCGCTGCAGGGTAAACTGGGCTTCACAGGCTTTCACCTCCATTTCTGTCTCGCCCTCACTTGGGGAAGGTGTAGGCATGTCTGCTTCCCTGGACTGACGCGGACCTCTATGCCCCTGGGAAACTGGCAGCTACAGGCCCATGCCCTCCGTCACATGAGCTGCCAAATTCGCACACGCCCAGTGTCGTCACAGAGCCGCCACACCAACTCAGATCTCAAACCCAGGGGCAAAGTTTCCCCACAAGCTAAGCTAGTGTCGTCAACCCTGCTTGTCCATTGGTCATTGATGGACACATGCTTGGTTCCCGCTTCTGGCTGTTTGGATGCACTGTGTGGACACTTATGTCCAGCCTGTGTGTGGTCGCAGGTCTCCAGGCCTGACGTGTACCAGGACTGGGGCTGCCGGGTCATGAGGGGTGCTGCCGCAGCAGGCAGCGCCCTCTCTCCTGTCAAGGGTGCAAAAGACTGAAGACTGTCCGTGTTCCAGAGGAGTGAAAGCCACCACAACCAGGCAGTGGCCTCTGCTGCCCTGGCCACCTCCCCTGTGGGAGCGTCGAGGCTTTAGAAAGCGTGCTGCACGTCTTCCTGGCTGCGTGGCCCTGACGAAGGCAGAGGACCAGCTCCCCAGTGAAGGTGCATGGAAGGCCGCAGCGTGCACGGGGTTGGAGGCTCTGCTCAGGGCCTCTGTTCCAGGAGACTCCGGTGGCAAAGGCACTGGCCTCTGACGGCAGCTTCTTCCAGAACCACAGGTTTTTTCTTGATCCTATCTTGCAAACCCAGAGGAGACCTGGGAGGCAGGAGGGGTCTGTGGGCGGGAGGGGTGCTTCCTCACTCCTGGCAGCACTCTGCAGGGCCTATGGCAGCCCTAAGGCTTCAGACCTCCGAGTTCCCGCATCCATCCATCCAGCCCACCCACATGTACTAGACTCTGAGCACCCAGGAGGGACCAAACAGATGCCATCCCTGACCAGACAGGGCTGGGCACCTCTGGACGGGTGAGGGGCTGTAAGCTGTACCCCATTCTGGCCCCAACCCCTGCAGGGAGGGTGGGTCCTTTGGCAGATCACATGGTCAGCAGGGGAGTGGACCTTGCCAGGTGCAGTACCAAGCTGTGGGATACCCCCTTTCTTGGAACAGCATCTGCTCAGATGGAAGGGGTGGTCCTGGCATCATTGCACTCCTCCAGCCACAGATGACTGACCAGGGAGATGGAGCCTGGGGCAGCCAGTCCACAGCGGGTGATGGTGCCAGGCCTGGGGCTGGGAGGTCAGCCAGGTCATCCTGCAGCAGGCCAGAGTCTCGATACTCAGTTACAGGTTCAACACCAACCTGACAGGCAGTGGTGTGCAGATGGGGAGGATGTGTGGAGAAGGCGGAAAGGGAGGCTGGGGCTTCAGGGGACAGAGCAGCACCCCTCAGCTGCCATGTCGGGCCTGCTGTTTCACTGGCTGCACCCCCCTCTCCCCCAAAGTGTTGTCTGGTCTGGTGGACTAGCCTCCCTTTCTAGGAGTGGGCTCTGGGTTCCAGCTGGACAGGTCAGCACAGGCCCCTTCCCCAGTGTGCTTGGCTCGGGCTGTGACCCACGTCAGGATGATGGGACTACTGGGTACAGCCACTGTCTCTCCAGGTCTCTGACGGAGGGATGGGGCCATCACAGGGCCACTCTGGGGCCAGCTCAGAGACAGCAGAGGTATGGGAGGGTGGAGACGGGATCCCACCTGCCTGAAGCCAGGGTGAGTTGGTCTGGTTAGTTAGGAGAGCCAGGGAGTTCCCATTTTCTGCTTAGATCACTTTGTTTCCTGTCATTTTAGCATAAAAAAGTCCTTGAGTTCTTTGTCAGTCTTTTTTTAATATTTTTTTAGTTGTAGATGGACATAATACCTTTATTTTGTTAGTTTATGTGATGCTGGGGATGGAACCCAGGGCTTCTCACATGCCAGGCAAGCGCTCCACCACTGAGCCACAACCCTAGTCCCCCCACCCCCCCACCCCCACCCCGCGGGCGCTGTCAGTCTTTCTGATGCGACTGCACTAACCAGGATAGAAGGATGGAAATCCTCCAGAGCTCTTTGGATTTCGGCTGCCAAAGAACCCCCAAACCACAAGAAGAACCTGTAGGAAAGAGCCCCTGGGCACAGCAGGGGCCATCCTGCCCCAGCCCTAGGGAACCCAGACAGGCGCGTGGGGGTGGTGCTGGTCACACTCCACCACCCAAAACTTGCCTGCTCCAAAACAGCCCTGTAGAAATCACACTGTGAGCCCATTGTGTGATTTTACACTCTCTAGCCACAGCAGAAATGCCAAACACCATCATTTCAACAGATCTTTGACATGAAAAGTTATTAGTGAACTCCGAGCAGGACACGTGACTTTTTCACACCCTGTCATCCTGGAAAGGAAAGACACACAGAGCAGAAAGACTAAGCCCTACCCCTACACCCCTAGAGTTAGTTCCTCCAAAAGAGACCACACAGCTACCGTTGAGAGGGACTCAGACTTTGGAAAGACTGAACACTGCAACGGAAACTGCTTCTCAGACTGTGGAGCTGCGCATGACTAAGTGAAGCCTGCAGTGGAAAGCTGTCAGTGACCTTAACCAGCATGACTTGAAAGAAGGGGGTCCAGTGGCACCTGTGGTGACCTCTGGAGGAGGCATATATGAGGGCCGTTAACTTTTTGTAATAGATAACTAGTACTTTAATAATCATAAAATGTGATATTTATATTGTTTTTCTCATACCAAGTCTCTGAAATCCAAGTGTATCTCACACATATGCCATTTCTCAGTTCCCACCAGCCACAACTGCAGGACACCCTGGTATGGCTGGGGATCACTGTGCTGGTCAGCACAGGATAGGTGGAAAAGCTCTCTTGGAGCTCTCTGCTGGCCTGCAGCCCGTGGGAACTGATAGGTGCCCAGATGGCCTCAACTGTCCTGAACCGGATGAGGTCTTAGCCCACTGGGTGCTCCCAGGACAGCCAGGTCCACCTTACGGGGGAGCAGACTGAAGTCCAAGCCTAGGAGGGAGAGTGGGAGCTAGGCTTCCACGTGACCCGTGTCTCCGGGTCACTCAGTGACACCGGGTTCCTCGGATAAGTGCCCCGGGGAACCGAGCTGCCCTGGGCAGGGCGGCCAGGAGAGGGACCTCGGGGATACTCCCCCTCCTACTCTCCGCGCCGGACCTCTGGCCAGATGCTGGAA